AAAAAACCCCCCCCCCCGAAAAATCCCGGATGGGTTTTGGCAAAAATTCCCGAATTTTAACTGAAAAATCCCAGATTTTTAACTCAAAAATCTGTAAATTTCACCCCAAAATTCGCCACATTCCACCCCAAAAATTCCCAATTTTCAACCCTAATAATCCCCAAATTCCACCCCAAAATTCCTCAATTTTAACTCAAAAATCTGTAAATTCCACCCCAAAAATCCCCACATTCCACCCCAAAAATCCCCAAATTCCACCCCAAAAATCCCCAACTTCCACCCCAAAAATCCTCAATTTTAACTGAAAAATCCTCAATTTTAACTCAAAAATCTGTAAATTTCACCCCAAAAACCCCCAATTTTCACCCCAAAAACCCCCCAAATTCCACCCCAAAAACCCCCAAATTCCACCCCAAAAACCCCCAATTTTCACCCCAAAAACCCCCAATTTTCAACCCCAAAATTCCCCACATTCCACCCCAAAGTTCCAGTTAGAATTGGGCATTTCTGGGTTTTACAACCCGGAGTAAACCCAGCCTAAACCCCAGTTTAACCCTGATTTAACCCCAGTTTAAGCCTGGTGTAAATCCCAGTTTAAGCCCAGTTTAAACCTGGTCTAACTCCCAGTTTAACCCCAGTTTAACCCTGGTGTGAATCCCAGTTTAACCCCAGTTTAAGCCTGGTGTGAATCCCAGTTTAACCTCGATGTAACTCCCGGTTTAAGCCCAGTTTAACCCCGGCATAACTCCCAGTTTAGCCCCGATGTAACACCCAGTTTAAGCCCAGTTTAACCCCGATGTAACTCCCAGTTTAAGCCCAGTTTAACCCCGATATAACACCCAGTTTAAGCCCAGATAAGGCCCAGTTTAACCCTGATGTAACACCCGGTTTAAGGCCGGTTTAAGGCCCACCTCGCGGTTGTACTGCCGGTAGTAGTCGCGGTATCTGTTGTAGTGACCCCAGTTTAACCCCGATGTAACACCCAGTTTAACCCCAGTTTAACCCCGATGTAACACCTGGTTTAAGCCCAGTTTAAGCCCGGTTTAAGGCCGGTTTAAGGCCCACCTCGCGGTTGTACTGCCGGTAGTAGTCGCGGTATCTGTTGTAGTGACCCCAGTTTAACCCTGGTGTAACTCCCAGTTTAACCCCAGTTTAACCCCGAGGTAACTCCCAGTTTAAGCCCAGGTTAACCCCGATATAACACCCAGCTTAAGCCCGGTTTAAGCCCGGTTTAAGGCCCACCTCGCGGTTGTACTGCCGGTAGTAGTCGCGGTATCTGTTGTAGTCGTAGTCGCGGCCGTAGAACCGATCGTCGTAGCCCCGGTAGCGCTCGTAGAAGTTCCGGTAGCCCTGGGGGCAGGGGGACCACTTAGAACCAGTTAGAACCAGTTAGAACCAGAACAAACCAGAACAAACCAGTTCAGATAAGGACAAACTAGGAAAGGAGGGTAAAAAAACCCCGAAAACCCAGGAAAAACCCAGTTTGAAGCGGTAAAACCCAACCACAACCCGTTTAAACCGGTTCAGTTAAAACCAGTTTAGACCCATTAAAACCAGTTCCAGTTTAAACCCCATCAAACCAGTTCAGACCTGTTCGAACCGGTCTTAAACCTGTCCACAAACCAGGTTAAACCAGAAAAAAACCGGTTTTAAACCAGAAAAAAACCCAGTTCACGCCCTGGAAATGCCCCAAAAATGCCCCAGGAAGTGCCCGGGAGGAGCAGGAAGCAACAGGGAAAAGGTCAGGAAGTGGAAAATGCCCCAAAATGCCCCAAAAATGCCCCCAAAATGCCCCAAAAATGCCCCAGGAAGTGCCCGGGAGGAGCAGGAAGCAACAGGGAAAAGGTCAGGAAGTGGAAAATGCCCCAAAATGCCCCAAAAATGCCCAAAACCGGTCGGGAAATGCCCCAGGGATGCCCTGAGTGAGCCCAGAAATGCCCCAAAAATGCCCCAGCAGGAGCAGGAAGCAACAGGGAAAAGGTCAGGAAGTGGAAAATGCCCCCAAAATGCCCCCAAAATGCCCCCAAAATGCCCCAGGAAGTGCCCGGGAGACGCAGGAAGCAACAGGGAAAAGGTCAGGAAGTGGAAAATGCCCCCAAAAATGCCCCAAACCGGTCGGGAAATGCCCCAGGGATGGCCCGGAATGCCCCGGAAGGTTCCGGAAGGTTCCGGAGGAGCGCTCACCCCGCGGTTGCCGGGCTGGCCCCAGTACTGCGGCTGCTGCTGGCCCCCGTAGACGCGGCTGTCGTAGCCCCGGCGCTGCCCCCCCACTGCGGGAACGGCAACGGGGCGGATCAGGAACGGGAACGG